TAATTATTTCAAGTCTGGTGCAAAAACGCATGATCGCACCGGCTCGCCTGGTGCGTTCCGGCCTGGATTTTTTTTTGACACTGCCTCTGTGTCACTAAACAGTTGGCGCTGTGTTGACTCGTTACATATCAATTTGCTAATTGACCAACTGAATTCTTCCTTCTGACTAGCGTTATCAAGACCACATTGTTCATATCAGGCTGGACCGCTGTATTTCACTGGATTTATGCTGTTGCCTAATGGCGTTCCTGACATGGGTCGTTTTATGGCTTCCTAAGCCAGTTCTAACCTCCTTCTGTACTTAAACATGGTGTTCCATGTGTTTTGCATGCACACAACAGAACATTGGCCACACAGCGGAACTGAAAGTGCTGCTTTCGCAGCTGCTGATCTAACTCCATTGGGTAGCCTTCCACCCTGCCCTTTCCCTTCCACTTAACTGCATGCTCAACTTTCGCCTTCATCATTTGTCCCAAGTATGCATAGCAGTTCACGAGCTCAAAAGATTGATCCTCGAGTCTTATTCTGAACTGGAGGCAATATGCTTCATTCCTTTCATCTTGGCCGTAGGTTCATTTACAAATTCTGCGACGACTCCACGTTTTCAGCAACGATCACGCCTTTGAAAAAACAGCGCAAGGTTTTAGCAAGTACGCTTGTAAAGCAAGTAGGCATTCGAAAAGCAACATACATCTTGCTTCATATCTCTGCTGCTTTTATTCCTGTGGGATTACCGAAGAAAGGAATTCTTTTACGCAGCCCAGCGAGACAGTGACTTTTGATTCGAATACGTGTGGCCTGGACCTGTGATCTGGCAAAGTCTGCAGCACAGCGCTGTTAACGAGAGATCCAAGTTTCACCATCTTTCTGCCAATTTTGTCGCTGGGAAAAATTTGGCCAGTTGTAAAAAACTACTTTCCAAACGAAGCCTTTTCCTTTTGAATATTCATCAAGAATTGTTCTGATTTGTGCATAACACTAGCTGGAAATGTTTTCGCAGTTATTCTTCGTCGGTGTGGGAACTATTCTTGATCAATTCTTTTGTATTAGTATCTTCATGAATCAATCCACCACTCGAACCCTATGTTGAGTGCCCTTTTCAGACAGTAAACGGAGGGAAGAGAGAACGCTCGAACTCTTGATTCAGTTAGAAACTTTAAGACATCCATGGTCTGCTGACAGCGACTAATTTAATTTGCAGATGAATGGGCAGTACGTAGCAACACAAATCGTGTTATTGTACGGGACGTATGGCTATTGCATAACATGCTACGAGTGCTCATCTGGTGCTGGAGAAGATTGCTTAAGGACAAGTGTTTCTTGTACGTATGGACTTTTCGGCTGCATGAAAGCAACAGTTTATTCAGGCGGCATCGATAAATGCTAGTCTCCAGCCTCACTTAAACATAATTTTTGTCAGTGTATTCAGCCGTAGAAAAAATTTTTGTATGTGTATTCATAAGTTGGGCCCAGGTTACCAAGTACCAGGTTTGTCGGTACAATCATGAGTTTTTGCGCTTGACTTGCACCAGACAGATAGTTGATTGCATCAGTGTTCCTGCGTTACAGTAAAACATGTGGACGCATGTTAGCTGTGTTTTTGGGCGTTTTCTTGCATGTAAAGAAAAAAAAAGATGTTGATTAGAACGATGGTGTTGCATCAATACGACCGCGTGAACCTCCAGAGTGCGTGGTAATTACCAATTTTGCACAAAGACCGGTCGTTTTCCCAATGAGCGATCGTTCTTCAAAAAATGCAAATTTGACAACGCGTAGGATACCAGAAAGGAAGAATTACAAAATTAGCAAAAAACACTCGCTATTGAGTTTGCAATAAAATTGAGTATTTCTCATGCCTTTGTGCACAGAATTTAGCCTCCAAGCTGCGTTTGAGTCACGCTTGAATGCAGAATGTTATTGCAAAGTTACAACCTTGCAGCTTATCCGATAGGTGAAATAGCCACTTCGCCACAAATACCTTTGAAGCGCCCTAGCTCGTGAGAAAGTGCAAATCTAAACTCGTTTTAGATATACGATTTCTCAGATAGGTGATAAATATCAAAACAAATTTTCAACCGTTTTTTGGCTAGTTTTCGAGTTGGCATTGTGTCAACTGCGAAGTTTGATGAGATTGTACGCGTGGGATATATGTGCAAAATCTCTAGCTCACACATGTACAGGGAACATTAATGTGAAATTTCAGCTTTCTAGTTTGCCTGGTTCTTGGAATAGTTCTCCCTCCACAAAATTTGCATATTTTTTCTGGCGTCAGCACGTGAGGTTCAGACCTACTTGAACGATGGTTTCAGGTTGTAAGGTTAACATATGCTAAGAATAAGGTCGCAAAATTTCAGTCTCACAGTATTGATTGCCGATTTAAAAGTGGGTGAAAAAGTTCACTCGCCCACACAAACACATACATACACATAGACACACTGCATGCTCCTCGACAATACAAGTTATGCGTTTTAACTCTGCGGCGCTATAGCGCTGCTACAGTGAACAAAAACGCATTTTGCCGAGAGGTCGCTCGTGTGTGTGTGTGTGTGCACGCATACTCGGAAGTGAGTGAAATCAGTCATCCACTTTCAACTCAGCAACCGGGAAAACTAGGAGGCAGAAATTTTGAGAGCATATTTCTACTACGTGTGTCACTCTCCTGCTTTAAAATCACAGCTCGTGCACGCCTAGAAGTCACGTATGGGCCCTCGAAAAAAGTACGTACATTTTATTGGCAAGGAATAATTTCGTGAACCAGACAAAATAGAAAGCTGAAACTTTGCTGGGATATTATTTATGCATGTATGAGCTAAAATTTTCAAATTCAACTATCGCTCGCGCATGTGTCGTGACTTACGGTCACATCAAAGTTCACGGTTAGCTCTGTACCAACTCGAAAACTAGTTGAAGAACAATAGTTGAAATCTTGTCACAATATTTGTCGTCCATCTGACAAATCGTACATCTAAATTGAGTTTTGATTTGTGCTTGCGCGACATCTTAGGGCAGTTCAAAAATATTTATGGCGAAATGGCTATTTCGTACACCAGTTAAGCTGTGAAGCTGAAACCTTGCAAGGGTATTCTATATTCACGAGTGATCATAATTCAGTTTGGGAGTGAAATTCTCTGCAAGCAAGCATGACAACTATTCAATTTTACCGCAAATTCAAAAGCGAATGCATTTTGCAGATTTCATAATCCTCTTCCGGCTTTCTCCAAATTTAAATTTTTTGAATGAACGAGCATTCACCGAAAAAATAATTATGCTTCATGCAAAAAACTGATAATCATCCACGCTGGAAATCCATGCCGTCCCATAACGCAACACCACCATTCCAGTCAACGCCCTTTCTCCTGCATACGGGAGGAAGCCAGAATGAGTCCAACTGCTAAACTACAGCGCAGGATCCGTTCCTGCTGTTAGCTATTTGCAAGTTTAACGCAAAAACGCATGATCACACCAGCAAGTCGGGTGCGTTGCAACCTGAGTTTCCTTTGACTTATTTTGCACCGGCTTTGAGACTGTCAGATAATAAGTTTTAGTGATATGTACTATTTAGTGAAAAATTTAGTGAAATTTTTTGCGCGTCGGACCGGAGTGTTTAGAAAGCGCATGATGCGCAAAAACGCTCCTTCTTTTACTTATTTTCCTTGTTCTTCCTCTGCTCTCAGTTAAGTGATTTCAGCGGGAGCTGATTTGCTTGCATTCCGTTTAACTACAATTGCTAGCTCTTGAATGTGTAAGCGAAGAGACCTTTCAGGAGGTCCCGTGATACTTTTTTGGCGCAAAAATGACTAACTTGAGGACCAGGGAAGCTGGGAGGTTGAAATTTTCAAGGAATGTTCCCAACATAAGTATAACATAAACCTATTGAATTCAGCCCCCAATCATACGTGTTTCACATGTACGGCCCCGTGAAATTTTTTGGTGGGAAAATGGCTAACTCGAGAACCAGGAAAGCTGAGAGACTTAAATTTTAAAGGGATGTCCCCAACCTAAATATAACTTAAAAGTGATATTTAAGCTGGGAAAATCCTTTTAAAATCATGCTCCCAGGTTACATGCGGGTCCTGTGAAAGTTTTTGCGGAGAAATTGCCAACTTGGGAGCTAGAAAAGCTGAAAAACTGAGATTTTAGGAGAATATTCCCCGTCCAAATACAAGTCAGAGGTTTCAAATCCAGCCTCCATGTACGCCTGTTTCTCGTGTATGGGCACTTAAATTTTTGGCGAGAAAATTACTCATTGAACAGCTGAGTCATTTTCAAAAAACTACCACTAAACGGAAATTGTTTGTTTCCTTTTATGCAAAATTTACGATGATTTACGGTATTGAGCGTACAAGATAAGTGTGAAGAAATAACCGTTCATGCAGTTAACCTAATTACTTCAAGTTTGGTGCAAGAACGCATGATCGCACCTGCTCGCCTGGTGCGTTCTAGCCTGGGTTTCAGTAAACGAGCACTCACGAGGAAAAAGACCATATTTCATGTAAAAAACTGACAGTCACGTGTCCTGGCGGTTCGTGCAGCCCCACAATGCAATACCATCCCAGCCGACGTCCTTTCTTCTGCATACGGGCAGAAGCCAAAACACAGCAAACATGAACCCAGTTGTTGAAGGAACCATTCCTGCTGTTAGCGATCTGCAAGTTTAACGCAAAAACGCATGATCACGCCGGTAAGTTTGATGCGCTGCACCCTGGTTGCTAATTGTAGCAGCGCTATAGCGGTGCACGGCGAAAACGCATAAAAACATAGTTGATATTAACATACAATATGATTGATTTGGGTGCTCATCTAGAAATCAAAAATTTCTTGAAGCTCGTTCCGCTTTTTAGTTACAAAATTACTAAGATAGGAGATGCAGCAAATCTCACTTCACGATGATAGCTGTAAACTACCCGAGAAAAAATGCCCCCAAATTTTTGCTTGAATGCCAGTTTGAACGTAAACCGAAAATCACAGCTCATGTTATCGAAAGAAGTTAAAATGGTTTTCAGGTTTGTAATCCATAAAACGCGGCTCTAGAAGTTTTAGCCCCCAAACTTTCGCATTTGCGCAGCCGAACTATCTAACTTTAAAGAAAACCCAGAAGTGATGTTTGCGTATCATGCAAAATGTCTAGATGTACCAGTTTTGTTATCCGCACATTTTAGTATGTAAATCATAGGTGCTTGTTGCAGTTGGTAACTACGAAAATCAAAAAGATCGAGTGCTCGGGATGTATCGTGGATGCACAGTACTGCCGCTCGGAAGCGCGGACTTATGCCAGCAGTCCTCCTTGTTTGGCTATCGCTTGGTCACGTGCTATTGTTTCAACGACTTCTGTAATGGTGCCAAGAATGTTCAAATAACTTCATCAATTACTCTATTATTTTTACTGCTCATGTTTTTACTGCAGTAAATTTGAAGTTTACTGTGCAAATTTAAGATTTTCCTGTTGCACCCCCAAAACACTACAGCTTATTATACTCGCTGCATAAACGCAGTATGAACAGGAGAGCGTCAAAATGAGAAAAAACATGCCTTAGTTTATCAAACTCTCAAAAAATCAGTAAACCAAGCCAGCTGTTTTTACCACACTTTCAAAAAGAGAACTTTTGACTTCAAAGCAATGAAAAAAATCGAGTATCAAGGCCTCCACCCGGTAATAACGCCCAGTAATAGCCGCATACGATGTCTGGAGACGTACAGCCTGCAAGGCGGATTCACATACCTTTTTTCTGCGCCAGTTTTTGTAACTCACGACGAATTTCAAGAGCACGCTCTAGCCGAATCTCACAGATCGAAGATTTTACAAATTTAGCCGTCAAGTTTTGCATTTGTGTGAATGTTCGGGTTTTTGTCATCCACATACAACTTAGCACCCGCAAAAGCGAAGAAGCTGAAATTTCGCAAGGATGTTCCTAGCCAAAGCGCTGTATAAACAGCTTAAGATCAACGTCCACATTTACCTGGAATTCATTTACGAACGCCTAAAAGAATTCATGTAAATTTTTAGGCAGGGAAGCAATTTTGGGAATCAGACAAGATAGAAAGTTGAAATTTCACAAGAATATTTCATATCCTTACGTGAACTAACGACATCAAACTCAGGTTTAACTCACAGTTTCGTCACATATACGGACAAACAAGTTGAAACTTCGTCATCGTTAGTAAGATGCCAATTAAGGAATTCAAAGTCGCATACAGCACAGTACAGAAATTAATAAATAGCAGCGCGCACCAAGATAGCCGGTGCAATAGTGCGTTTTGCGCAGCTCCAGCGGACGTTTGCCTGCTAAGGATTCACGTTGCCTTGTATTTGGTCTTTGCAAAAATAGTTGAAATGTTGTCTGTCCCTAAGTTGCGAAATTACCCACTATAACCTTGTACGGTAAACACCATTCCCAAATCAATCTCCTGATTTTCTGGCTCTTGAGTGACTTTTACGCCAAGACTTTTGCGCGGTCGTGCGTGAGGACCCCGGCATACTTGCGAACTAAATTTGAAGCAATTACAAAAACTCGGCTCGGCTGATGATCAGTGATGTTTTAGCCTTCCAGCGCTCCGCTCTATCATCTCTGCAAACATTATTTCGCGGCGTCGCTCGCTGGAACTTTGCCAGACGCGCTTGTTAGCGCCACTTAGTGTCTGGCGGGTGAATTACATGGCTGGGAGGGGGTGGGGGTGGGAGGATTGGACGTGGTTGGGGGGGGGGGGGGGGGGGGGGGGGGGGGGGGGG